GCGATGCACTTGTTCCTAGTAGCTTCTTGTTACTACTAGTAAGGCACCTGTTACTAGTAGCGAGGCACCTGTTATTAGTAGCGAGGCACTTGTTACTTTTAGCACTCGAATGGAACTTATGATGTGTCCAAAGTCGCCAAGTTTCAACCTGTGTCGAATGACAACTGTGGTCTCAGCCATAGGATCTCTGGGCTCGTAATCCAGAGATCGTCCATGCAAGACCCCACCAGAGAGGAGGAGAGAACTTGTACACGCTGAAGGGCCCGACGGTCCTGATCGAAACACACGGTCGGACTTGAAGACAGGAACAAGTGCCTCGCTAGTAGTAACAGGTGCCTCGCTACTAGTAACAGGTGCCTCGCTACTAGTAACAAGTGCCTTCCTAGTAGTAACAAGTGCCTTACTAGTAGTAACAAGAAGCTACTAGTAGCGATGCCCTTTGCTCCTAGCGATGTATATTTGTCTTTTTTGGCAATTGTTGTCTCTTCCTCTTCCTCTTCCTCTTCCTCTTTCTCTTCCTCTTCTTCACTTTGCTCACTGCACTTTGCTCTTGCGAGCTTCCTTCTAACTTGTCCTCTCTCTCTCTCTCTCATGGCTCAAAAGCACTCCTGCATCAGTGGTGGCCTTGGGAGCAATGTTCAACAAGGGATACATGGAAATCACCATAGCCTCACTGCAGGCTGTGGAAGTTAGCGCGTTGGCCCATTTTCCCAATGCTGTGAAAAAAAACGTCGAAGTCCTGTTGAAGGCCTGAAAAAATCATAAAATGTCTGTCCTCAAATCTTCCCACAAAAAATAGAAACCAAAATCCTTTTTGTCATTGACAATGAAACCAGTGCTTGAGGAGTGAAGTGTCTCTCCTGCCGAGCCAAAGCAGCTGAAAGGCCCTGCAACTCTGCACGGGCCTCCGGGTGTGCCTCAAAGGCCTGGGCGGAAAGGGGAAACCAAGGGGAAATGCAAAAACGAACGTTCGGCATTTCCTCTCCAATAAAAATGGCCTCCAACCTACTAGCGATGGCCTCCAACCAATGGCGATGGCCTCCAACCTGATAGCAATGGCCTCCAACCTAGAAGGGATGGCCTCCAACCTTCTCGTTTGGTGAACTTGACTTTAATTTCAGCGATGGCCGCCTGCCACAACCGCTGTTGATTTTGCAGCATCTCAGTGCCATTCCAAAGGCTGGGTAGAATCACCTCCAGCACAGTTTTCCATTCTTTGTAGGTTTCTTGAAATGCTTGTAGGACACGGCCCTCGCGTTTTGGAAGAAAATCATCCAGAACCTGCCCAGGGGAAGCATGAGGAGTGGCATAAGTCACATGCAATGACGCACACGCGCCATAGATGGCTGTGTCGTTTTGTGACTATTTGGAAGGTTGCATGACATGAACGCTCGCAGGGCCGGGAGAGCTTACTCTATGTCGAAGTGGTGTCCTTGCTCCTAGTAGCGATGCCCTTTGTTACTAGTAGCCATGCCCTTGCTCCTAGTAGCTGGCTGCAGCTGGCTTTGTTCGGCCTCCAAGTTCCAAAAATCCAAAAGTTCAAAGTGAATGACGGACATTTCAATAATGCATGTCTGTCAACGTGAGGAGCCGACACCATGGCGCCAGCAAGATTGTTCTAGTTATACACAAGCAGGGACCAACGGCGTAGGACCCACCCGCCGCACTTTGATACCCAGGCGCAGTCAACAGCAGGTACGTTTGCACAAGCACAGCGTGAGCGTCTTTGTTAGCTCTTGTCTCACATACGCTCGGCTCTCAAGCAGGCTTGGAGCACCCCCTGCCACCTATGACTTGTTTCAAGACAACTTCTGAATCTACACACACACGCCCCTCGAAGGGGCATATGCTCCAAGGTTCCTGCAAGACCTTAAACAGAGATTCCTTGAAACGGCAAGAAAAAACAACATGTATAAATCCGCTCTTAGGTTGGAGGCCATCGCTACTAGGCTGGAGGCCGTCGCTATTGGGTTGGAGGCCATCGATGTTCAAAACAAAAAAGAAAAGAATGTCTAATATAAACGAAGGGATGAAAGACCTTAAACCGGAGAAAGACGGAGGAAAGAGAGGAGTGGCCAAAGACGAAGGCGAAAGGGAAGGCACGCAACCTGAGAACCACATATCCGCACTAAATGGAGAGCAATGCCAACCAAAACAGAACAACATCGCGCTTCAGGCCCCACGCAAACTACACCAATGTGTGCCATGAAAACCTGCATCACGCCTGCCACGGAAGTAAACTGCACCAAATCTGCCACGAAATTAGAAACAATAAGCTAATAGCTTCTTGTTACTACTAGTAAGGCACCTGTTCCTAGTAGCGTGGCACTTGTTCCTAGTAGTTGTATCACGTCAGAGGGTGAGGTGTGGTGATCCTAAGAGGCAAAAGACTCCACAAGAGAGCAGGTTGCCGATCTGCTCCAATCTGCTTCGATTTCTTTACTATGGCTGAAGACCCCCTAAGCTTCCCTGTTGGTGAAAATCAACTCAAAAACAACTCTTCTGTTCTGTTCCCCCAAAAAATAAACAAACAACTTCCTGTGCACTGCAAAGACCACTGAAATGGATTACGCACCACCCAACCCGTCCCCACTCCCAAGACCCTCCTGACCGAACATGAAAATTGTGCAAACACCAGAAAGTTAAAAGAAAAAGCACGACCATCTCTGGCACGTGCTCCAACTACTCCATACTAGAAACAGGGAGTATTTGTGTGTGTGTGTCTTCCTTATCTTTAGCCCTTCTGTGCTCTGCATGTTGATTTTTTCTTTCTTGCCTGTTATGTTTGGAAGAAAAATACTTTGAATGGTATGATTCACCAGGCCTTGGAGTAACGACGCATGGGCTCAGTCTCCATATGCACATCATATTCCAAGAGCTCATGCCTTCCGATGGGAGCTTGGCCTTCCACCGCGGCCAAGAGCCACCAAAAACCGAGCGCCGCACTTCGCATTGCCAAACACTAGTAGTACGGCCAGGAGCCCCTAGTCAGGTCCGATCGCTCCTAAGAGGCTTGCAGAGCTCACCGCTGGGCTCCAAGCCCCCCAGTCTTGAGCCGTCGGGATGTTTGAGGCCCAGTCTTCGCTTCGTACGGGGGTGCTGCCAAGCAATCCAAAAATGAAAAACACCAAATTCATGCTGCATCTGCAGAATGTGTCCGAGAAAAGGACAGCGGGTCCATCTCAAACCGTCCTGGTAGGAATTGCATGGAAACAAATGGACGTCACTATCTCTTATGAAGCAAAAGAAGAAGGGCCTCGGGCCTCAAGGATTAAAGTTAAAAAGGTCGAAAGTTCTAAAGAAAGGACAAACAATCTAAACACTTGTTCGATGGGCTATGCAAACGGGCTTTCAAACATCATCGCTCTGAAGAATGGACGGCGTTACCTTTTGCTTGTCATACCTGGTACAGGATTTCCTCTCCCCAGGTCAGACTCTTTGACCGTTCTGAAGTACAAAGTACCCACAAGCATCCACTATCCCCTCCACCCTCTCCTAGGCAGTCAAAGCTCGCATGAGCAGCTTCAGCCATGATGGTTTCCAGCACGTCCTTCGCATGGAGGCTCCCAAGTGCTACATCACGAGGCACCCACAACACAGCTGCGGCCTCCTTTTGAGCGACGGTCGTGTAGCCGCCTGGAGATGTTGCATGGAGACCTCTTCGCTACTCGTTAGTACTGCATGGCCTCCAACCTATTAGAGATGCCCCGTGGTGTGCTCAAACTCAAGATTTGGAGAATTGGCCCAAAGAAATGATCACAGTGGCTGCGCCTTGCACCTGCTTGAGGACCTTTTGAATCTCCGTGAGGTCTCGGAGGGTACGGATACAGACTCCATTTTCTCACGGTTTGATATGCGTTTCGCAACCCTGCAACAAAGTGTTTAGCGAAGAGTGCTCTTTTGCTCTCTCCCAGAAAGCTACTTGTGTGTATAAAATGCACTTGACAATCTCAGAACCAAATCAACAGCGGCACGACAACAACTCCCAAGTGCAAGCAACCCGAAGCAAGTTCAGTCACAAAGTGCGGTCCCTCCCAAATGTTCAAGTGCAAAGTGCGGTCAGTCCAGAGTGCGGTGCATCTTCGTTGCAATCACAATGAACAATGAATGTCAATACTTCCCCACCCCATTCCCACCCATTGTTCCTAAACAAGTGAATCCACGAAGCAACAGCGTCAGCTTCGAAGAAAAGCGCCAAGAACGCAACAAAAAAGACAGCGACAAGTGTCAAGCACGCTACAAAAACACACCAGGCAACCTATCAAGCCGCCAGCAACTACAAACAAGGAAAAAGAAATTACATTGAACACCTTGAGGTCAGAATCTGTGAGTATACCTTGAACGACTGTATACAACATAAGTGTGTGTACATTTATATAACACTATATAACCACATGTACAATATCTATTTTGTATTGTGTGTTGTAGCATACTGTATGTATACAAAATGTGGACCTCGGCAGAATCTGAGAAGCTGTTGAGCTTGCGGCTTCCTTCGTCATCGCCCACCGGGCCTCTCTAGGTGTCCAAGCTCAAAGAGCATAGCGAAATGTTCAAAGAGATCCGTTTGAGCCTAAGAGCAATGGCGTCCAACCTACTTGGCGAGATTCTTCAGATCCGTTTGAGAGCTCTTTCAGAGCTCAAGCCATGCTAGTTCAGTCTTGAAGCCCTGGGTCGTGCCAGAAAGTGCAGGGCCTGCCAAGGCCAGTCGCGCCAAATTCCACTTGCTGGGCCGTGCCTGAGCAGAAATGCATGAAGCGTCGAACAAAATGACCTCACACACGAACTGGCACGTGAATAGGACGCCTGTGATTCCAAGTCTAGGCTGCTCACGATTTGTCGCACATCTATCTGTGACTTCCTGTCAGACGAACAGGGAGTCGCAAAATGGGTCTTTCTCAAGGCGCCGTGCAAACCGGTTGGGGACCACGACTTGCGCTCGAGTCAGCGAGATGGCTCCCATATGCCTCTTACCACACTGTGTATAGTGGGTACAAAGGGAGTTAATGATATCGTCATGCGTTCAGAAGACATTAAGAACATGCTGCTAGATCACCCCAAATAGAGGGTTCTCATGAAGAACCGCATCGAATCTGCATGAAGAAGACCTGTTCGAGGTTTATCGGTGAAGCCACTGGGGGCAAGATCGGAAGACAACACCAGAAATCAGTAAGCAAGGCAAAACCGGCAACAAATCCAGAAACGGATCAGGCAGGGCGTCAAGTCCATTTTGGAACTTTCCCATTTGGTGCCCACTGCGCACAAATCGCGTTCATGATAAGCAAGCTGTTGTTCTGTCAGCATGGCGAATCCACAACATGCCCTCGCCTGCTCTGCATTGAATTCAAAGCACTGTCTTAGCAGCAGGTCCACGCTTGGGATGCTTGGGGGGTGGGCGAAGCAAAAAGAAGTAAAGCAAAATAAGGAAATAGAAGCAAACGGCTTTGTTCAGTTTAGAAGACTTCAGATAAGTGTGTGTAATTGCCTCAGGTCTGCAAAGCCACCCCATACTGTGGAAAAAGAATACGCGTTACACTCCTTTCTGCTAGAAAGCCTTGGGGCAAGAGCAATACTTGGCTTGTTACTAGTAGCTTCTTGTGATTCTGAAAGGAAAGAAGAGATGCCGGAAATCTGCGCACTACGTGCAGATTGACTTCAATATACAATGCAGAAGCGAGCAATCTGACTTCGCTGACACCTGCAAGCCAGGGCTTCCCACCAATGGCTTTTCTTTGTGGACTTGGTGTTGCCATGGGTGAATCCTGAGGGAATGGCAGATCCAATGCAATTACTCATAATCACTCTAAAACACATCCCCTCAGCTAATCAATGCACCCAATAATACTTGAGTTCCATCGATATTAGGTGGAGACCATCGCTAGTAGGTTGGAGGCCATCGCTAGTTGGAGGCCTTCGCTTCTAGGCCATCAATGCACCAATATTACTTGAGTTCTTTACACGCATCTCCTGTCCTTGGTGCTTCGCCGCGGAGTTCTTCGTGATCCTTTCCTGCATTGAAGCCCTATGTCTTTGAATCCACAAGACCGCAGTCGAAAGTTCTTGTTTCAAATGAAAGCAGCTAGGAACGCTAAGCAACTAGGAGCAAAGGGCATCACTACTACTAACTCCTGGCTATACTACCACTAGCAAGAAGCTACTAGGAACAAAGGGCGTCGCTACTAGGAGCAAAAGCGCTAGTAGTAGCTCCCGGCATTTCTACTAGAGACTCACAGACTACAAATATGACATCGCCTCCGATCACTCTCGCCATCCTCAATCTCATCCTTACGGATCAAATCGACGAGTCAAGGAGCACAGGGAGAACGAGTGATTGATCGAATTTAGATGTTCTATATATGTTTGAATCAATGTCTGCTCTCTCCATTGAAGGAGCACTCGAAAAGTTCCAGTCAAGTTGCCCCAAGATGAGCTATCCTGGTACGTCGCGGCCTGAACTTGTGCGCATCGACGACTTTCTTTTGACTACAGCCACTACAAAGGTTCAGGTTTGCAATCTCCCCATATCACACATGGAATCAAAGCAAAAATGAAATCTGAATATCATGCAATCTTTGAGTACAACTTGAAAGTTGAAAATCTGAATGTTGAAGTGGCACACTGCACGCTAACGACTGCTCAAAGTCTTGTGTGGTGAGGCTCAAGCGATGGCAATCGTGTCGGTGAGGTTTCTCGTTCGGGAGAAGCTGGCCTCTCCCGTCAGTCGGTCTCTTCACTCGATCTGTTGATGAAGCCAAAAGGAAAAAAGGAGTTGGCGTATTGGTTGCTCGAAAGGAGTAGAGTCCAAGACCTACCACAACTTTCCAGCAAACAAGGTGCTTTCGGGTCACTACACATTCGCTCCTGGGTCCGGCTCAGTTCAACAAACTACCCTGCTACTAGGACCAACAAAACCAAATAGCGATGGCCTCCAACCTAGAAGCAATGGCCTCCAACCAAATAGCTTCAATTGTACACTGCAAATGGGCAGTTGGCTCTTTGGGTTCTGAACAAGAACGAGCAAAACAAGGCCTTGCCATGGTCCGTTGAATCCTTCGGATTCGTGAACTCCACCTGACAGTGTCATTCCCCCCAGCACAAGATGCTCCAAGGTCCCAAAAAATGCGTCCTTTCTGTTGGGACAAAACTTGGGTGTTTTTTTGCCCGCGCCTACTTAGTAAGGTAAGGCGACTAGTTCGCTGCTTAGGATAAGTAAGCTACTACCTACTGGACGCAGGATAGCTCACGCTTCCTTGAAGAAGCGCTCGCACTAAGGATGTGGTTCCTAGAATTTTTGGGAAACAAACAGGGAAGACACAGAGACCTACGCCATGGAAGATTAACATAGAATGTGAAAGCCACTGGTTTGTGAAAGAAGCCAGTCTTCCAAAGGTCCATTTTCAGGTTCCATGCTAATAATCTTCCCAGGTGTACCTTTTGAAGCAAGGGAGTTTCACGGCTTATGTCGCTGCCTTCACTATCTCTCCCTGCCAATGATGCTCAGTCTTTTTGTCTTTTTGTCTCAGCCTTTGAGACCTGTGACCCAAGACCCAAGACCCTCAGGCGCGAACCGCCGGGCCGAGGCGGCCGAGGCGGCCGAGGCGGCCGAGATTCCGAGATCTGCCTTGAAGTTCTGTGTGTCTGTGTGTCCGTTTCTCTGTCTAGGCTATTCTTGGGTGTAACAATTGAGCCAAAGTCCAAGTGACTAAGTGTCTCTTTGCCTTGCTGCTTGTCTCTCTGGCCAAGTTCAGTTTCCTACCAAAAAGATTGGTAAGAGCTTCGTGCTTTTCCAGAGGGGGCTTTTTTGCTTGGATGACGAAAATGCTTTGAGCCGGTCGCATGATGCAGTGGGGGATCAAAAAAAGAAAAACATGTATTTAAGGAGATCAAAAAGAAAACAAAATAGGGATCAAAAAATAACATAGCACTCTTAACAATAGCAGTGGTGGTATTGGA